GGGTCGGTGTACGAGGCCACGGGAGCGGGAATGGCTGTGGCGATGCCCTCCAGCTGGGCGATGGCCTGGGCTCGACTTGCGGCGACGGCGGTCTTGCTGGCGGCTACGGGAGCGCCGTTCCACTCCCTCTTCAACTTCTTTCTCCTTCTCTCGACGGCGACGGCGTTCTCGATCTCTTGAACTCCTTTTCTTCTCTTTCTTGCGAGGCTCACCTTCAGCAGCAATCGTTTCAGTATTGCCGGGTGGACGTTCAGCGCTGGCACTGGCTGCGTCCGTCTCCTCGGGGACTACGACTGGGGCACCACCTTCTGCGACTGGGGCTTTCTCTTCTTCCGGCTTTTCCTCCTCCTTCACAACCCTCTTCGCAGCACTTCCTCCCTCTTGCGGGAGAGCGGGGGGACCGGGGTTGGCAGCCCCCGTGTCACCTCCCTCGGAGAAGTCCAGAAGTTGCGAATGGACCTGTCGAAGAAGCTCAATGCCTCTTCTCTGCAATGCCCCACTCGCCTCCTCCGAATACAGGAGGTTGCAAAATTCGACGAAGGGAGAGGCACAGAACGCACGAGCAGCTCTCGAACTCGTGCGCCATGCACCCCTCCGCTGAAGCCGAGATTCTGCGGGATTTCAACTTACGGGGTGATTCATCAAAATTCGGGGCGAAAGTCATAGAGAGAGAGAGAGATACATTTAAATCATATCCTCACAGTGCCCAGTTCAGGCAGCACCTACACCCAAAAATATGAGCCACTTTAGCTGTAAGAGCAGGAGTGTGCAAGTATTTAGACTAGATGGTGACTAGTTTGCTCTGTCGTCCGAAATCATGCAAGCAAACTTGCTTAAGGCAGTGCTCCTTTTGCTACTGAAACGTCGAATGTTGGCAAACATCCACAACCCTCGAGATAGAAAATGCCTGACAAAGTATGGAAGGGGAAAAACTGCAAGACCGATGTAATTAAGTAGAGGAGGATCAAAAAAATACAACTTGTCCAGGGCAAGCGAGGCACGGTAGTGTAAGTGGCCTCGGACGAGCAATTCTTCGGTTCGCTGCTGGAGCAAGACTAGTTTGTCCGCATGAAGATCTGCTTGCTGTATTGCAGAAGCCATGTGTGAATCGAGCCCAGCGTGCTTAAGGAAATCCGAAAGCACTGACAAGATCAAGCTGCGCAAGTTGAAGCTAAGCTTACCTGCAAGGTCGCTCAAATCCAGCTTGGTGTGGTTGACATGAGGCTCCAAATCGCCTTGGACAAAGTCGACAAAGAGTTGTTGCATGGAGCTGCGATTGAAGGGCCCACTTGTTGCGAGTGCCTTTGTCCAAACAACGTCAGGCACCCCAACTTGCCGCAAACCATGCCCTATCATTGGAATCACCAAATGTTGATGCATTTCGGCATTCGTCATGTTTGAGACTTGCCCAAGAAACTCCACTTGCTCAAGCAGTCCAGACAGAACTTCTTGAAACGTGACCATCTGGTCTTCCAAGTTGATGTGCTCCAACAATTGTAGGCTAATCTTTGAAGACCCGAGCTGCTTCAAGATCAACAGGAGCACTGGCTTTGCCAAATCCTCCGCCAGATCCAAGTGAAAAGCCTCTGCAACTCCTTCCAACAAGAGATAGGTAGAGGCCTTGGACCACTCATTTAGCAATGACTCCAGCGCGGCCTGGAGCTTGGAAGTCTCACCTGTCATATTGGCCGACTGCACCTTCTGCAGCGCTTCAGGCGGCGCCCGAGCCCTTTCTAACGTGGCGAGCGCAAAAGCCTTGAGCATCTTCTGCCCCTCCAGATTGAAGTTGACGGCCCTTGAAATCACCGGGAGGTCAGTGTAGACGAATTTGCCTGCGCGCACGAAATGACTCAGTGGGTGAAGTAGCTGAGTGAAGTTCTCTTCTGGCAAACCCTCTCCCTGCAAGCCGATTGTGTCAAGAATTGGAACCAAAGCCTGGCGCAAAAAACGAACTTCACTGTCAAGGGCTGAGGCGATAGACTCCAAATCTACTAAGTCAACGTAGCCTTTCTGGAGAACCTCTGTCAAAGTAGTCCATAGCTTTCGTCTTGCTGCAGCCTCAAGCGGCACACGCTGCAGGAGACTCTGCACAACTGTCATCACCTCTTGCGGCAAACCTGCTTGTTTTAAGCCCACGGAGACGAGTGTCTGCGGGATCGTGTCTAGAGCATGCAAGCTGAATGATTCAAGCAGTGACACAAGATCTGAGAAGTTTACAAAGCCTCTGCGCCAAATGCTTGTCAAGACTGATTGAACTTCATTCATCTTCTCTAGATCAATGTTGGCTTGTTCGAGCTTTGCTGCTTCATCATCCGGCGCACCTGCCATAATCAATGCCATCTTTCCAAAAGGTTTGAGAAAGTCTTGTTGGACATCTATGGTAATGCCAGCGAGCTCAGCAATCTTTTGGATCTGTTGGACATCCCAAAAGCTGGATATCCCCCCTAGCCGCTGCAGCCTGGTCACAAGTGCTTGCACATCCCGCAGCTCGACATTTTGCAAATTTGAGGACCCTACTTGGTGCGCCACAGAGGATGATACACCGACACTTTGCAGAGCAGAGGCCAAGAAACGGGACATCATTGTGTTGAAGTCCAAGCCTAAGTCTGCCGCAATCTGCTGCACATCAGCAGAAGTGGGGTAGCCACGCTGCAGAATTCTTCGCAAGTCAACTTGAAGGCGAGGTGGCACAGTGACCTCATCCGGAAAGCCAGCTGTTCGCAAGATTCTCTGCACTATGGGCTGAATAAGCTCACCCCAGTCAAGCCCAAAGGCATCAGCAAGAGCAAGCAAATCTGGCACATCGGGCCAGCCATTTTTCAGGAGGGCGGAGATATTCAGCTCAGGATCCTCAGTCGCCTGCCAAATCACAGTCAGAGATGTGTGATTTGCAGGTACACCTGCCTTGGTCAATAGCTCAGAAAGCAACGGTTTCACGATGTCTTGCATGTGATCTAGCTCGCAAGCTTTCGCAATGGCCCGAAAATCAGCAAAATCCAGAAAGCCACGTCTCAGAATATCAGACAAGGCCTCTCCAAATTCTTGAGGGCGCACGGATCTCTGTCCAACCTTTTCTGTGATGCTGGAAGGCGCACCAACCTGCCTCAGCAGCTGCAGAATCAGGTGCTTGAGTGTGTCTGCAAGGTCTAAACCAAAGCAAGCGGTCAACACATCCAGGTCAACATACGTTGGATAACCGCGTTGAATCAAACCAGGCACAACAGAATAGAGAAGCGGTATCTTTTCTGGGACTGGCTCAGCCATTTCCAACGCAAGGGTCACCTCTCGCGGCAAAACGAGTACCTTGGCAAGCGTTGCTCGCAACCACGGCTTGAGAAGGTCCTTATTGGCATCAAGATTGAAGGTCGACGCAATCAACTCCAGGTCTGACTGATCTGGATGGCCCCGTTGTGTCAGGTTCTCAGCCACATTCAGCAAGTCCACTTGCGGCCGGCTATTCCAAACCGCAACTTGAACCGCCTTTGGAACGTCCCAAAAACTCAACAAGTTTGCCAACAAAGACGGCAGGGTTCGAAGAAGCCATGCAGTCGTGTTAAACCCAAAGACTTGACCAAAAGCTTCCATGTCTCTTGCTGTTGGATATCCACGAGCGAAGATTTCAGGCACGTTCCTGCTTGCGAGCAGCTGGAATCTGTTGCGTTGCTGCTGCAACTTCTCCAACTGCTCCGCTGAGAAATCATGTCCTAAGGTTCCAAGAAAGCGCTGCACCGGATCATCAAAGAAATGAAGATCAAGGCCGATGCGCTGCATGATGACTTCTAGGTCAGAGTATGTTGGATGGCCGCGGCTCAGCACGTTCTCTACTGTACTCATCATGTCATTTCCACTTAGATCTGCTGTTTGGACACTATCAATGGTGGACTGTGGTGCTCCTGCGAAAGTCAGGCTCCATGCAATCACTGGCTTCACTAAGTGCTCAGAGGGATTGAGGCCAAGGGTGGTGGACAGCGCCTTCAAATCGGCCAATGATGGCTTGCCTCTTGCAGACATCGAAACCCAGAAGTGCTCCAAAGCCTGAATGTCTTCAGTCTCCACTTGCTCAACCGCATTGACTAAGTCATGTGGGGCGTGCAATTGTTGCAGAGCAAAGACTACCAATGGGATGAGAAGGTCAAGCGCATCCAAGCCGAACACCTCGGCAATGACTGTCACCTCAGCACCAATGTAACCCTGAGATGCAACTCCGTCAAGCGCCACCTCAAGCCGGTCTAACTCTTCAGGTGTGGGAGCAGCTTTCTGAAGCATTTCTCTGGCAGTGGGGCTTAACTGGCTCATGAAAGTCAGGGTCAAGGGCTTCAGAAAGTCTCGGACTGAAAGCCCCAGAACTCCACACAGGTGCTTCACCTCAAAATAGGTGGGGTATCCCATTTCAAGAATGTTCGAGATGCTCTGCTGGGTCTCTGGCGGCACTGGTAGAAAAAGTGCGTTTTGGGTTTGCTTGATCTCCATCCCCAAAGCCTGAAGTGACTTCAGCAAAATCGGCTTGAGCATGTCGGAGATGTCTAGACTAAACGTGGAAGCAAACACCTCGAAGTCTACATACTCGAGGTGACCTCTCTGCATGGCTGCGTCAAATCTCTCCATCAAAGCAAGAGCTTCAGCAGCTTCAGACTGATGAGTATCATCCACCTTGTCCAATACTGCCTTCGGCACGCCTGCTGCTTGCAAGCTGCTTAGGAAGAGGGTCCTCACCAACTGCTCTGCGTCCAAGCCCAATGCTAGGCCGACTTGCTGAAGGTCAGAAAACGTGGGGAAACCACGAGTGACGATTGCGTCCAAAGCTAGAAAGGCATCTCTCACTTGTTCCTCCCGCACTTCGGACTGCAAAACTGTTTCTATCACCTGGCTTTTCTCCTCAAAGACTGCCTCGAGAGCTAGCCTCAAAAAGTTTGTGAGCTCCTCATCCAAGTTGAATGCTCGAAGAAGAAGTCTGATGATTTGATAAGTCAGCTTGCGCTCCTGCATCAGTAGAGCCACTGCCGTCCTCAACTCCTCGCTTTCGGACTGGGCCTGCTGAAGATGCTGAACTGCGTCAGCCAGCGCAGGCACCTTTGCCAAGAAAGGCAGAAATAAAGGCTTCACGAAGTCTTCAATAAGATCCAAGCCAAAGAATGCAGCCACAGCCTCCAGGTCTGCCTCAACACCCAACATGACAAAATTAAACTAGACGACAGGGTGGCCCGAAAGCATAGTAGGAGTAAGCATTAATTATAACGAAACAGTTCCAAACGAAACTGAGGGGTGAACCGTTTGTCGGCAACATGTATGGTAAAATGTTTTTGGGGTAGCAATGTATCACAATGTGTCAGACCATTCTTGTCATTGAGGCCCACATCATTTAATCACTGACTTAGTTGATGCCTTTCTGCTGGGTCCGTTTCACTACGTCTAATGATCACAAATGCATGATGATGTATAATGTCTGCGTATGTATGATGATGATGATGATGATGATGATGATGATGATGTGGTATGTCTGATGATGATGTGTAATGTATGAGTATGTCCAATTATGATGATGACAAAACACTGCGCCTGCCACGAAAAGCTAGTAGGAGTAAGCATTATAACGAAAGGGTTCCAATCGAAAACAAACTGAGGGATGAACTGTTTTTCGGTAACCACGCATCATCGCGCTCACCAGCGACACGCCGCGTTTACACCAGCATGTTTCGCGCTCCCAAGTGGCACGGCGCCACGCAAACGCACTTCCCACCAAGGCCGCACTATTCCGCATGGCAGCGCGACATCACGATCGTAATTCGCCACACGGTCTGCCCACACACTATAGAAGCAATCATACCACACGATACCGCCAATCATCCCGCTCACCAGCGACACGCCGCGTTTACACCAGCAAGTTTCGCGCCGCTCCCCAGTGGCACCGCGCCACGCAAACGCACTTTCCACCAAGGCCGTGCAAATCCGCGTGGCACTGCGACATCACGAACGTAATGTCGCCACACGGTCCGTCACAGACTAGAAGCAAACATATCACACGATACCACCAATCATCCCGCTCACCAGCGACACGCCGCGTTTACACCAGCATGTTTCGCGGTTTCCCGCACCACATTTGCACTACAAACTGGCCACTTCTGAGTCCAGCTCCGAAAAGCTCTTTCCGGTACTACATATGTACTACAAACTGGCCACTTCTGAGTCCAGCTCCGAAAAGCTCTTTCCCGTACTACCTTTGCACTACAAGCTGGCCACGCCACAAACCCTGCGCTGCGACACCAGCCCGTTTTGGGCAGTCTACAGGGCAGCAGGCCGCTCTGCGACCATCACGTGGGACGCTGCACGCCTGCCGCCGGGCCTAGCCGCGCTGCTGCTACGGGCTGCTGCTACAGCTGGGCACACCCCCCTTCCGACCGCTGTTGCGGGCAGAAATGGATGGTGTCGTTTGCGGGGGCGGCGCCTGGGACACCGCAGAATAACGGTGGCTCCGCTTGCCTTACTGGCTGTTAAGCAGGAACAGAGGAACCATGGAGATTGAGAGGGTCTCTACTAAACCTGAAGGTTTTGAAAGTAGTTGTTCATGCAGGTTGATCAGGTTGATGATATGAAATGCATGGGTCATGGGGGCGGTAGCTGGAATGCTTCAAACACAGAACCATGTAAAGACAGAGGGAGGATGAAAATTCCTGGTGATTCCTGGTGCCCTGCAACATAGGAATGCTGCAGTCATGACTCCATGACTCCAAAACTCAACTGGCCCAAATGCACCAAACCGGAAACACCCAAACCAGGTGTCTCCGTCTGAAGCTTTGATTCCCCAGCTACTTCTCCTGAAGCTGAGAGCACTGGATAAGTGTTTTGAATTTTTGAGGAATGAGACGCTGGACAGCTTCTTATAGTCGTTGATAAGCAGTAAGAAACACAGAGCGCGTAGGATGCTGGACAGCATTTGTTGTAAAAAGCGGTTCCAGGCCACATGCCAAATTCAACTGATGTTTTTTGAATCCCTCTGAGCAGGCTCAGAGCTACAAGACTTCCAAGCAGCATGTTGATTTAATTTTGCGTAGGATGCTGGCCAGCGTCCTTTGAAAGTTTGATGAGCATTTCTTAAAGCGCTTGTAAGGATGCTGGACAGCATCCTGCGCAAAAAAACATGTTGCTGTACATGTTCGACCAGGATTTCAGGAAGGTCCTCGACCTTAAAGGGATGCGTTTGAGAAATCCAAGCACACTTGAAGCCGTTTGATGTATCAAAAAGGAGTGCGTCAGAGGTGATTCAGCTTTCATCCAACTGAGTCAGTGGCAGATGTTTCAAGTCACCTGCATGCACCCGCGCCCTTGGTAGCTGCAAGCGTCGTAGGCTCAGACCCAATCTAGCACCAGAAAGAAACACAAAGATATGAGATAAGAAACAAAAAGTTTTAGACAGTAGATAAATTGCTGGACAGCAGCCTCACAGCACATGTAGGACTGCTGGGCAGCAGTCTCATCATCACATGTACTGCTGGGCGTAGAACAGCTGGGCAGCAGTCTCATCACATGTAGGACTGCTGGGCAGCAGTCTCATCATCACATGTAGGACTGCTGGGCAATCTCATCACATGTAGGGCGTTGCTGCCCAGCAACAAAACATAGCTGCTGTCCAGCAGCCAAATAGGAAGTGAATGCTGCTGCCCAGCAGCGTTGCTGTCCAGCAACCAAAGATAGCTGCTGTCCAGCAGCAAAATAGCCGATTAATAAAGGAAGTGAACGCTGCTGCCCAGCAGCGTTGCTGTCCAGCAACCAAAGATTGCTGCTGTCCAGCAGCAAAACAGCCGATTCATGATAGGAAGTGAATGCTGCTGCCCACCAACCAACATGGCTGCTGTCCGGCAGCAAAAAGGCCATTAACAGTAGTGAAGGCTGCTGCCCAGCAACAAAAGATAGCTTAGAGAACAGTGAATTTTTCAGTATTATGACCAACTAAGCAAGATTTTTTGGAATAGCGAGAGCGCTGTTCAAGCGCATGTGGCCAAACTGCAGCAGCCAAAATTGGCTGAGAACTTATCCTTTCGACATTTTTTATTTTGTAAAGACTGCTTTGGCAACCCCCATGTCGAGTTTGTTTGCCCCAGTGAGATCTTGGTTGCGCTTTCCAGTTTTCCTGGTTTTGTTTCCCAGTTCGCAAACTGCTGGGGCTTGATGCTACGCTGTTCCTCCTGCAGCCCAAGAAATTTCAAGGTCAACTGTTGGAAGGTTGGGGCGCAGCGCCCCATCCTTACATCAGTTCCTACTTGGCTGCCGGCTTCTATTTGTAGAATTTAAAAATACTTGTTGGATTTGCGGAAGCTGTAAGTAGATACAACTTAAGTTGTAGAAGTTATAGAAGTTACCTTGAAGCAAGGAATGAGGTTGTAAGCGCGTATATTTTCTATAAGATATTCATAGCTTGAAATAAGTTTTCAGGCTTTGGAAATGTTACATTTTTTGTGTTTGTTACTTATACAATAACAATATTTGTGTATGTCTACTTGTTTGTAGCAAAAGCACGACAGAATGCTTGTTGTATATGGTTGTTTGCGGCCCAAAAGAGCCGCAGTTATGTTCCAGATATTTTGTGGTTACATCTTCATTAATAACTCAAAGCTGCCCAAAGAGTTTAGGGTTTAGGGTTATGTCGACGCAAACTCAAGCTCACCCGCAAATTTTTGGAGCACCCGTTAGCAGATATCTTGCAACCTAAAGTTCACCCGAAAAATTTTGAGCGCCAGTTAGGTTCAATAATCTTGCATCTTAAGGCTCACCCAGAAGCTTTTGAACACCAGTTGGGCCAAGAAATCTTGCGCCTAAAGCTCACCCGCAAAAGTTTGAGCGCCAATTAGGTCCAGAAATCTTGCAACCTAAAGCTCACCCGAAAAAATTGAGCGCCAGTTAAGTTCAGAAATTGTTTAACCTACAGCTCGGCCGCAAAATGTTGAGCACCAGTTATGTAAAGAAATCTTGCAACCTACAGCTCACCAAAAAACTGAGCACCAGTTGGGTCCAGAAATCTTGCAACCTAAAGCTCACCCGAAAATTTTTGGGCACCAGTTAGGTCCAGAAATCTTGCAACTTAAAGCTCACCCGAAAATTTTTGGGCACCAGTTAGCTCCAGAAATCTTGCAACCTAAAGCTCACCCGAAACAAAATTTGAGCGAGTTAGGTTCAGAAATTTTTCATCCTGAAGTTTACCCAGAAACTTTTGAACACCAGTTGGGCCAAGAAATCTTGCAACCTAGAACCGCGCAGGCAGCGAACAGCGCCGCCAACGCGCGGCCCAAAGAGCCGCAGAGGACATAAAACACACGCAGATATAATACATACATACATATACAGATATATACGCAGTAACGCAACGTCTGGCAAACAATGAAACATGATGAAAATTTCAGAAAACCGCAAAAAGTTGTTAGTTCCAAACCTTTCCCACAAACTTGAGCACGAAACACGACAAGTTCGGTAACTTATATAGGACTTAAGTGTGCGCTCTGCGTCGCTCGGCCTTTTTGGCGGCAAAATGCGGCCAGTGCGGCCACAGTCTTTGATGCCTTCGCATCACTTCAAATGTGGCTTTTTGCCATCTCCCCCCTTTCATGCGTAGTGCATGGTGTTGCCGAGCTGTGCCATCTTCACCGAAACCTTGGCCAGCTGAGTTCCACCGTCGTGCAGGCATCTGTGAACGGCCCTGCTGGACCACCTGCCTTGTCTCTTCACCAGCTCGATCTCCCCTGCGCTCTGGAAGAGTGCCGTGGCGCCTCCGATGCGGAGGCTGTGGCTCATGAACCGGTCAGGGGGAAGCCCAACGCCACCCGCCGCCTGTTGAAGGAGTGACTGAACCTCCACCCTCTTCAACACACTTCCATTTGCCCATCGAAAGAGAGGCTTCAGCCCATCCCCATGCTCTTTGGCGAACCTCATCGGCCATGCTCTCTGCATCCTTGCCAGCGCTTCGACTGGACATAGGTGTTTCTCCCCCGTGGCCTTGAGGGTCTTGTTCTCACCAAAGGCCAACTGGTCAGTTCCTGAACTGCATCGTCACCTCGTTGGCGCTCATGCCATCGGAGACAATTAGTGTCCTTGGTGAAGCGGATGTCAATGCCTCGAAGGATCATGTCGTCATCGACCCCATTGCCATCGCAATACTCCTTGGCTCGCAGCATAAAGAACCGGGCTGTGACCATGGCCGCTTGGATCATTGCTGCCTCGGGAAATGCCGGGTTGTTCTCCTCCAATGGGTCCACGAGCTTGTTGCCCATCCATATCAACATCTGGGGGTGAACCCCAGTCTTCGAGGCTTGTGCGCCGACTTCCGGTCCATCGCCCGTGCCAGGATCCATAGTCGGCACATCCTTCAGTGGGATCACCAGCCCCTGCCTTCTTGTGCCCATCCTTGATGGCAAAGATCGCCTGCTTGATGGTCGCCCCAGATGCCCCAAGCCAGCGCAGGTAGCCGATGAACGCCAACACCTTGTTCTCGTTGTCCACAACGTCGTCCTTCCGGTTGAGGTATTCCGATGGCAGTTCTTGTCGGCGCGCCCAAGCCTTCCACTTCGCCCAAGACCCAGCGTAGGCCCGCTCCGTGCTGGCCGCCTTGTCACCTCCGAGGTTGTCTTCAAGCCATTCCTCCACTCTGGCCGTAACCCTTCCATCGAACGGCCTCGACTGTGACAGGAGACCCTGCACAGCAGCTTCCCCAACCGCTTGGTGTGGCTTTCGTTTTGACCGGCCACCTGCATAGCACCCATGCCCAAGGTCACCCGGCTCCTCCTCAGACAGGTCGCCCTCCAGGATGTCCAGCCACCAGCCCTCAGCCCACCGACATAGTGGGTTGAGGTGTCCCCCGGCCCTTCGAAGCTCACCCCGCTTCCATCGGCGAAGCCACACCAGGATCTGCGCCGTAGCTTCGGCGCCTTGGACGTCTCGACACATTCCTGCTTTGGTGCCCTGCTGGTCAACCATGAACAGGATGTACCCTCCAACTGTCAAAAGGCTTGTGGCGGTGCGAATGCCCGTGGCTTTGGTACCCTCCCCTCGACGATCCACGAGCCAAAGTCGCCCTCATTCTCGCCACGAGGTAGGCCAGCGCGTCCCTGGAGTGTCCACAGCTCCTTGTCTGTCAACTTCCTGAGGAAACCCGGTGGGCCCTTGCGGTCAAATACGTAGACCGGTTCCATCACCCCAGACTTCTCATCGAACAAAGGCCATGCAACAAACAGGGCCTCCCAGGCCGTGCAACACTCGTCGGTCATGATCTTCCAACCAACAGTGCCCCAGACCTTGCGGCAGCATTGGATCACGAGGCTGCCCCCCTTGAAGCTCCACGCGAGCCGGTTTGATCCACTTCTGCGACTCATCCCACGCCGGTCAGCATGGTCGTGGCTGGCACCGGGGCCTCTGTCTTGACGAGTGCCATGCCCCAGTCAACCTTCTCCCCTTCCAGCTGAACCACCAATCCCCGTCTCCGTCGAGCCAGCCCTTCACCAAACTCTGACGTCACCAAGCCATAGTGCCACCCTTCACATTGACACCTTCTTTCTCCTTGCTCCCAAGCTGCCAACCGTGGGCCTTCCACCAGGGCGACCACAACCTCCGCCCGTTTGGCTGCCTGCAAGAAGGCGATCAAACGTTTCCCATAAGGATCAGGCCCAACACTTCCACAGAGCATCCTCAAGTGTCCCTGATCAATGAACGGGTTCGCACCCAAGTCCCTTGCCACCGTCTCGAAGTCCTTGACCAAGCGACGACCCTGTGTCCATTCCTCCACTTGAAACGCAGCTGCATCAATGACGACAGGAAGCATGGTCCAAAGCGCTCTGTGTCCTCCAAGGCTTGGGAGACCGCCGCGTTCACATCCACCTTGCAAGCTGTCACCTTCCTCCGCCAGATCACGGTCAGTCAGTACCCTCGTCACCCACTGTCGGATGTGCGCCACCTCAGCACGGAAGGCGAACTTGTTGGTCCAGTCCATGGCCCCCAGCACTGTGGGTGTAGCGTCCGAGGAGATCACCACCACTCGACCCCACTCCCCAGGAGGGTGATCCGCTCCAACGGGGGTAGCATCGTCTTGAGGTCTGAGCAAAACAGAGACTCCCACTGCTCTGAATTGCTGCTCAACCATCGACACACCTCAAACAGCTCCCATAGATCAGCCCAAGCACAATCGGTCTCCCAATAGTCAGACCCTTCGCCCCTAAGACGTGGCTTGACCGTAGCTTGGCCTTCATTCATTGCCCTGCAGGAACTTGTCAGCTGCCTTCAGCTCGTTGTTGAGGCCTCTCAGAACAGCGGTCCAACCAGTCATGATGCCTCTGAAGCGTTGGAGTTGCTTGAGTGTCAGCGTGGAGGCCCCGTAGTCAAAGTCAGCCTCGGCCAGCAATGCCGCCCCTTTCTGAATTCGGCGCTCTGGGAGGTGTACCTTCTCCGTGACCGTGTCCATCACCAAGCCCCATACGGTCTGTGACGTGCGGAAGCTCCCTTCAATCTTGTCCTTCTCGGCATTGATTGCGGCTTCCCCCAGCATCATCCTCACCCCACACTCAAACACCTCTGCGCTGACCCAAGGCCGCAGACCAACATAGGGCTCCACGAGGGTGCAATCGTCCACGAGCACCTTCGCATCGAATCCCGTCCGTAGGTCTCGTCGAGGCTGCTCTGGGCGGTGAGCTCGGTGATACTCCTCCGTAGCCCTCCCAAACATGGACCACTCGCCAGGGGATCCAGAAAACCCAAAAGACGACACCAGGTAGATCACCGTGACCCCAGCCGAGCAGCACTCTTCTCCCACGGCCTCTTCACCCTTCAACACCTCCATATCCCCACCGAACAGCTCCACATCCTCCGGGGCCACCCACAGGAGCCTGAACGCACCCGCGATGTCCTTCTTACTCATGACTACCGGGATTTTAGGGCACCTGACTTTGTGCCACAAGATGCGGCGAGCCACCTGGACATGCGCCGGCTGAACTGCAGGAGGGTGAAGGAACTTGGTTGCGCCAGCGTTGACTCCCCTCTGGTCATGGACGATTCGTTTGTCCTCGCTGATGGAGCGGTCAGGGAGCATCTTATTCGTCGATGTGAGGCCTGGATGGTCAGCACTGACCACCAAAACTCGATGCTTCGCCACATCCTTGCCCACCTGCTTGAAGACCTGGTCCACGTTTTT